ATAATTTATTTGTGGACTACAAGACACAGTATAGTAAGGATGTCAATTGATAAGCATGTTTAATGTGATTCTTACCAAAACTCCAGTAAGATTTTTACATATAAATATTATTCTACAATGTATAAAGAGGGGTATGGGTGTAGCTCAGTGGAAGCATGTTTACCAACATTTGTAATACTCTTGGTTTGATTCCCCAGTTCCACAAGACATAAAAATAAAAAATAAGGAAAGGCAAAGAACAGTTTGAAAAGATGAGGTGGGAGGAATCAATCCATGGGATCTGGAGGCTTGTACGGCTACAGAAATCAAGGCTGTGTTATTAGTGGAAGGACAGACATTGATCAATAGGACAGAAAATACATCACAAATAGACCCAAAGAAATATACTCAAATACCATGAAGGCACAGATGCAACTAAAAGACAGTGGCTTCAATCAGTAGTCTTGAAGCAATTAATTAATATGTAAAAAATAGTTCCTTAACCTAAACCTTGGATCCTATTAGAGAATTAACTCAATACAAGTCATGGACTTAAATGTAAAATATAAAACTATATGATTCTTTGGAAAGAAATATAGGAACAAATCCTGGTGATCATTAGCTAGGTATAAAGTTCTTAGGCTTAACACCAAAACCATGATCCATAAAAAGGAAAAGTGAAGCCAGGCATGGTAGCACAAGAACTCAGAGACAGAAGAAGGAAGATCTCAGCAAGTTTGAGGCCAGCCTGGTCTGCATAGTGAGTTCCAGGTCAGCTATGGCATTTTAAAACAAAGAAAGAAACAACAAAAACAACAAAAAGGAAAGCTGAAAATTTAACTTCATCAAAATTAAAAATTTTGATGAAAAGATTCTGAAAAGAATATGAAAGACAAAGTTAAACTGGGGAAAGTATTTGTAAGTCATGTATCTGACAAAAAATTAGAATCTCTAAACTCAGTAATAAAAGCAAGAAGCTATCCTTGTTGTCTTGTAAATCCAAAAGAAAATGAACAAAGACATGATAGATATTTCACCAATGAGGACATACTAATGGTAAAGAGTACATGAAGATACATTTAACATCACTAGCCATTAGGGAAATGGACATTTAAAGGATAGGATATTGGGGCTGGAGAGATGGCTCAGCAGTTAAGAACACTTGCTGTTTGTTCTTCCAGAGGGCCCAGATTCAATTCCCAGCATCCATATGGTGACTAACAACAATCCATAACTCCAGTTCTAGGGGATCTGATGCCCTCTTCTGGCCTCTGTGGGAATTGCATGATACGTGTACACTTACATACATGCAGGCAATACACCATATACATAAAATAAAAACAGTTAAGAGGGATGGAGAGAAGATCCAGCAGTTTAAGAGCACTGGCTATTCTTCCAGAGGACCTGAGTTTGATTCCCAGCACCCACATGACGGCTAACAACTGTCAGTAACTCTAGTTCCATGGAAATCCAACACCCTCTTCTGAATTGCACAGGCATTGTGTGACAGAGGTATACTTACATACATGCAGGCAATACACTCATGCACATAAAATAGAAATAAGAAATCCCAGAACTTGGAAGGCAGAGGCAGGCAGATCTTTGTGAGTTTGAGGCCAGCCTGGTCTACATAGTGAGTTCTAGGCCAGCTGGGGCTAGAGGGAAACCTCTTCTCAAAAAGATCAATAATAATAATAATAATAATAATAAATAAAAACTTAAAAATTACAAGATAATAAGTGTTTATCTATCAGAATGGCTGAAACAAAAATAGTGATCAGACCAAATGTTGGTGAAGATGTAGAGAAACTGAGTCACTCATACATTGCTAAGCACTACTCTAAAAAATATTTCAGCAGTTTGAGAAAAATGACACATACAATTACCATAGAATCTAGCAGTTCTACTCTGGGGCTTCATTCCAGAGAAAAGAAAATGTGTTTTCATAAAAAATTTGTACATAGTTAACAATGGCTTTATGATAGTTTGGATCTGGAAGTTACTCATGAAGAGAATGGTTAAACTGTGGTACATCTATACCATGGAATACTCAGCAATAAAAAGGTCTACACTATTGATATACTTCAGAGAACTATGTCAAGGTAAAAAAAAAATCTCTATGGTTATATACTGTATAGTTACATTTATAACTTTCTGAAAGGATGAAACTATAAAAATAGAAGACTAGCTGTCATGGTTTGTTTCTTCATTGCTGTGACAAAATACTCTGACCAATACCAACTTGGGGAGGAAAGGGTTTATTTATCTTGCATCTCCCAGGTTGCAGTTCATCAGGGAGCCCAAGGTAGGAACTCAGGGCAGTGAGGCTCCCTCAACCCAGGTGTGTCAAATCGACACTTAAGCTATCCAGCACAATTGACCCATTGTCAACCTGACACACAAATACCTCACTATTAAACTGTAACCTTTCCAATTCTTGGCCCCAAGATACAATGTTAACATTAATATCACAACATAAGACAGTACAATCTTAAAAGTCCTACAGTCCTTAAAAAATCCAAACACTTTAAAGTCCATAGTCTCTTTGAAAAGTCTCTTAACCGTGGGCTTCTGTAAAATCTAAAACAAGTACTGTCCTATCTCAACAGGAAGAATCGGACACACCTAAGCAAAACCAAAGTCCAGCAAAGTAGCTCAAGGCTGGACATCTGGGATTCATTCACGATCTTCTGGGCTCCAAAGGGTACTGGCAGCTCCACTGCGCTGACTCTACAGTCCACAGCACACCCAGCTCATCTCGCAGACCCAGGCCAGCTCCATTCCACACCTGCCGCTGTCCTTGGTGGTCATCCCATGGTCCCGGCATCTCCAAAAGGCTGGGGTTGCCACTGAAACTGAGGTTACACCTTCACCAATGGCCTCTTCTTGCCTTTTGGGGTGCAAAGCCTCAGTTTCTCTCCATGACCCCTTCAATCCTGGGGTCTTTGCTGTAACTGAAGCTGTACTCTGAATAAACACTCCAGTTAAAAGACAGGGATTGGGCCAGCGAGATGGCTCATTGGGTGTAGGCGCTTGCTGCCTGACGCAAGCTTGATGACCTGAGTTGGATCCCCAGAACCCATGTAAAGGTGGATGGAGAGAACCGACTCCACAAAGTGGTCCTCTGACCTCCACACATGCTGTAGCACATGCCCCCCAGTAATAATGAGAATGATAATCAAACCAGATTTTTTTTTCTTGGCTTTTGAGACATGATCTCCCTGTAGCTCCCAGCCTGGAACTCTCTATTTAGACCAGGCTGGCCCGGATCTCAGAGATCTGCCTTCCTCTGTCTCCCAAGTGCTCAGATTAAAGGTGTGTATCACCATGCCTGGCTCTCAGATTTTTAAAAACTATGTTTCTTGCCAGGTGTGGTGGCAGTAGAGGCAGGCAGATCTCTGTGAGTTCAAGGCCAGCCTGGTCTACATAGCAAGTTCCAGGTCATCTGGTGCTACAGGGAGACTGTCATGGTTTGTTTCTTCATTGCTGTGACAAAATACTCTGACCAATACCAACTTGGGGAGGAAAGGGTTTATTTATTTTGCATCTCACAGGTTGCAGTTCATCAGGGAGCCCAAGGTAGGAACTCAGGGCAGGAACCTGGAGGCAGGAGCTGGAGCACAGGCCATGGAGAAATGCTGCTTACTGGCTTGCTCCCCTGGCCCCTGCTCAGCCTACTTTCATATGCTACATTGGCCCACCTGCCCAGGGGTGGCACCACCCACAGTGGGCTGGGCCCTCCCACATCACTCACCAAGAAGATGCTCCTCAGACATTGCCACAGGCCAGTCCAATAGAGGCAATTGCCCAATTGAGTCTCCCTCAACCCAGGTCTGTCAAGTTGACACTAAAGCTATCCAGCACACTAGCAATTGCCAGGGATTGACAGGGGGTAGGAATTGGGGGCAGGAAAGGGGTAGATAAGATTATAAAAGGGCAACACAGGGATCCTTGTGTCTTTGGAAATGTGTTATATCTCAACTATGTCAATGCCAAAGCCTTGTTATGACAGTGTATTACACACATATTTCTACATTATCTCAAAATGAAGTTTATTTTAAAAGTACAAAACAAAAAGAGGGAAAAAAAACCTCATAGCCCAGACCTATTTACTCATGAATGTCACTTAATCTTCACAAACTCCTATTAAACATGTACATCACCCAAATGCTCTTCAGTGAATACTTGGTTGAGAGGACATGGGGTCTGGGATGGGATCCAGGGCATTGAGCACACTAGAGTATGCATGCTAGGCAAGTGCTCTACCACTGAGGTACTTCCCTAGCCTGTGAAAACTTTGTAACATTGACAGCCCTTCTTGACAGGGGTTATATAAAAAAAGATTCCCTAGTCAAGCACGTTTGATAATGAAACAAAAAAATTTTAATGTATTTTTTCAAGGTCTTTACTATCCTAGTGAATATGCACATCCAAGTAGATGCCATCATATATAGCTTTCTTCAAATTTCTTTAACTTTAGAATTCTTCTTTTCATATGATACTGCAGCCGAAAAATTACTCATTCCTCCAAAAAGAGTGAGCCTACAGAGAGTAGGCCGGTCAGGGGCAAGATGAGGCGCACCTTGGGAAGAGGGGTGGAGCTATAGCCATTTGGAGGGTGAGCAGACTGGAGACTTAGCCAGAGGCCATATTGGAACTCAGGGAACAAAGCATGGAGCTCCAGCCAGAGGCCAGTGGTGGAGCGCTGAAAGCTGGTGGTTACTGTGGAGGAGTGGAGGTAAGTCTGCATGGATGGCTGGAGATGAGGCATTCAAACTGTGGGCATGGGTGCAAGTCTCCCAAGAAGGGAGGGAAAAGGAAAAATTTAGTGAAACAGATACCCATTAACAAACTGCACCAAGAATGAGTCTTCTGTATACCATAATAAATGTTGGGTTATTGTTTTCTATCAGTATCCTGCTGGAATTAGGTTTTTATGTTATTTCAAGTTACGCTACAGATTTACTGTTTTATAAGCCTGAGTATACTTTTATCATAGATGATAGATCTAAACTACTTACCATGTAACAATATAAATAGATCGAAGTACTAATGTAAAGACCAACATTCCATACATGACCTAAATTGAAAAGAAAAATAAAGTCAGCACAATCATTTCCCCTCTCTCTCCTCTTTCTTATCACCCATACTAGGAAAGTGCTCTGCCACTGAGCTACTATATTCATATCCCCCCCACCCCCCACTTTTTCTTTTTATTTGACAAAAGGGCTGACTATGTTAACTAGACCAGTCTGGAACTCTGGATCCTCCTGCCTTAGTCCCACAAGTGCTTGAATTATACATGTGTGTTACCATGCCCAGTTTACAGTCAGCTTTTTAAAAGAAGAGAGGGTCAGGTGCAGTGGCACATACTTGTATTTGCAGTTCTCATGAGGCTGACTCAGGAGGTTCACTGAGTTTGACAATAAAACACTGATAATTTTTTTCCCCTAGCTTTCTCTGTCACTAACTAGATGAGAAAAAGAGAATAAATCACTTAACCTTCCAAACTCTCAGTTATCTTAAGAAAGATGATGTATTAGTACAATAATGATTAAGTCAATCTATATGACCTGTATGAAATATAGACACATTATGTAGCACATAAGCAGATAAAAAATGCTATCTATGGGCCAAGAATGGTGGTACACACTTTTAATCCCAGTATTCAGGGGGTAGAGGCAGGTGGATCTCTGTGAGACTGAGGCCAGCCTAGTATATATAGTGAGGTCTCAAAAACAAAAAAAAACCCAACAAACAAAGGCTAGTTATCTTTTTCCAAATGTGCCAATTACATCAGTGTCCTTACATTCCTAATAATATAATGTACAAATGAAGCATAATAGAAAATTTTAGTCAAAACTACTTAAAAATCCTTGTTTTTCCCATTGTTTATACACTGTGCTACTTCTTGTAAAATTTGAGGGTCAAATGAGAAAATACAGGTATCCGCGTACTGCTGCACCATGTCTGGGACTCATCTTTAGAGACAGTTACTCTGGCAGGGATATTTAAAGTGATGAGGCTCCTTGGGACAGCAGATGATTTCTCATGTGAGACATTCAATTACTGATCTGTCAATCTGCTCCCTTAAAAGGGTTCACTGATTATTAGGCATTCGTTTATCTACTCCTACAAATGATTTTCTTTTTTGTTCCTTTGCCTTAAGATATGCTGGTGTTTCTAATGTAGAAGCTACATCATTACAGAATTACCCTATTCAGAAGGTCATTAAATTAAATATAGTTTTTGGCTCTTATTTGGAGATTTCTGGATCACCTTGGACTGTAAAGTAGAGCTGTTACCCGAATTTCGCCCCCTCAGGGAATTGAATCTGGTTAGCAGATATCTTAAATGTTTATTCACCCTTTATTTTCATTTTTTTTTCTTCTTCTGACAGGGTCTCACTATGTAATTCTGTTGAAGTCAAGCTATCTTGTTTACCCAATCTTGCTATTTTTTAAGGGGAGGGACTTTTTTGAGACAGGGTCTCCCTGTAGCCCCAGCTGGCCTGGAATTCACTTTGTGGACCAGGGTGGCCTTGAACTCAGAGATCCACCTGCCTCTGCCTCCCAAGTGCTGCGATTACAGGCATGCGCCACCACGCCTGGCTTGTCCTGACATTTTAAAGGAATATATAGTCAAGTTACTTAGTGGAATTTCCTTTAGTTTGGGGCTGTTTGCTATTTCCTCATGATTTACTAAGGTTATGCATTTTTGGTGGGATTATCAGATGACAATGATTAATGATGCTGTGTCCTCAGTGAATCACATCAGGAGAAACATGGTATCTATTTGTCCTTTAACTAGTGATATTAAATTTGATCATAAATTTTTCTTAATACAGTATTCAAATCATGAGTTCATATGAACATTGCTAATTGTAATCCAATTCTACAAGGCTCATTCTAGTCTTTTCTTTTAGATATTTATATTTGTTTGTTTCTTTAAGACAGTCTTACTATGCTGACCTTGAACTCTTGATCCTCCTCTTGCCTCAGATTCCTGAGTGCTGGGATTAGAGGTATACATCAACATGTCCAGTTATCTCTTTCCATGTTTGTAACTTGTTTCTTTGTTTGGCAGTTTATTATAAAGAACATTACAAAGGATACAGATGAACAGGATGAAGTGTGGCAGAAGGCACATAGAGTTTCCATGCCTATTCTGGACACACTGAAACTTCATGTGTTCCTATGTCTGGAAACTCCTGCTCTGATTGTGTGTGTGTGTGTGTGTGTGTGTGTGTGTGTGTGCGCGCGCGCGCGCGCGCACGCAAATCCAGAGCACTGGGCTATTCTGATTTTAAACTCTGGTCCTAGGATATAAACCACACTGGACATAGATAGATCCTGTATTCAACCTGCTTCCATTTTGACCAGCAAAGATTATTGCTATATACATAGAAAAAAATTACTAGACAACACAGATACTGAAGCATGGGTAGTTAACATTAATAATTTGCTATTTTTGTTAAATAAAAACAGTATCAAATAGACCTAAAACACAATAATGGAGAACTGATTATCATCAAAAATCTTAAAAATTAATTCCAAATTTTCAAATTATTTGTTTTGTGGTTATGATTTTTCTTATAAATGCAAAAATTATAAAAACTGAAGTTTTCATATAAATTAACTTTTTGTTTTTCATTGGGTAAGTAACTTTCTAAATAAAAGGGCAATTATATGATGACAACTTTGCAAATTACAATAAACAAGAGCAGTGTGAATATACCTGCTTTCAAATAGCCTGAAGAAAAGCAAAGCCCCATAATGAAGTTACAGAATTTATTCCAACAAATAGGCTGTTGTTTAATAGATGATTGTTGTATTGAGCTGAAAAGTTACAGGAATATATCTTATTTGTAAACATTTGTCAGATTCTAATTTTTTTTTCTTTTTGTATTAAAATTCACCTGTGGATGTATATGAACCAAAATAAATGGAGATAATTTTTCTCCTACAAAAGAAAAAAAAGTTACAGGCATGGTGGCACGTGCCTTTAATCCCGGCACTTGGAGGCAGAGGGAGGCGAATCTCTTAGATCTAGTCTGGCCTGGTCTACATAGTGAGTTTCAGGCCAGCTGGGGTTACAGGGAGACCCTGTCTCAAAAAGAGCAAAAAGAAATGTTACAGGAACATTTATTTATTATATAAGAAAAAATATTTTAAAATCACAAGGCTTCTGACATCCCTGAAAAACATATTTGTTTATATATGTATGTATGTTAGCTAGTTTGTTAAAAGAATGGTAACAGGAGCTACATCTAGGTTACAATCCTGGCTCTGCCTCTTAAGTACTGTGTTAACTAAGGGCACATTACTTCATACCTGAGCTCCTTCCCTTTAAGAAATGCTCAATAATCTTCAATATACAGGGTCATCAGTGAGAAGTTGCATGGCATCAGGTATAGTAATTAATAAATAACAGCTTTCTTTTTTTTTTTTTTTTTTTTTTTTGTCTTTTTGAGACAGGGTCTCCCTTTAGTCCCTGCTGGCCTGGAACTCACTATGTAGACCAGGCTGGCCTCGAACTCACAGAGATCCACCTGCTTCTGCCTCCCAAGAGCTGGGACTAAAGGCATGCACCACGACACCTGGCCTAATAACAGCTTTCTTTACTTAAGGCTGCAACTTTATTTCACTCTTGTTTAATGAGATGCACTTAAGACCACCATTTCCTACAATAACATTTCCAGTGTTTACTTTCTTCAGTATAATCTCCATCTCAAAAGTTTACTAAATATATCAAAAGACAAATATTCACAAAATTTTCAATTTGCGTTTTCTTTTTTAAAAAAATATTTTATTTAGCTGGGCGTGGTGGTGCACGCTTGTAGCTGCCATGTGGGTGGCGCACGCTTGTTAGCTGCCATGTGGGTGCTGGGAATCAAACATGGGTCCTCTGGAAGAATAACAAGTGCCATCTCTCCAGACCCCAGTGTTTTTTCTAGATCAAAGTATCATAAAGGCTCCTCCCCCCACCTGGCCTAAGCTAGTCTCAAACTCACTATGTAGTTGAAGTTGGTCTTGAATTCCTGATCCTGGCTACCTCCTCCAAGTGCAGGTTGGTTTCATAAAAAGATTTTATACATATATGTATATGCATATGAAGTTCCTAGGTTCTATCTGCTTTTGAAAGTGATACTGTACCTGCGTTACTAAATACCAACAGCCAGTTGGACTGTGACATTGACTGCCCTAGTTATACTCTAATTACCTATGCCCGACTCCTGTTTGTACCTCTGTTTCAAAGTGATCTCTTTTAAAATCCTTTTTTTATATTTTGAAACAAGGTCTCATGTGGCCCCGCGTGGCCTTGAACTTGCTGTATGAATGAAGATGATCTTGAAGTCCTGATTCTCCTGCTAGTATTTATTTCTTAAGTACTGGAATTATAGGCATACACCATCATGCCAGGCTAACGGTGAATATTCTTAAGACATTTTACTGTTTCACTTTCAAAAGCTGTATTTGCATATAATCTCCTAGAGAATGAAAATAAAGATGCAGGCATGTACTGTTAAATACTCAAAATGTATGTCATTTGAAAAATTACCTGATGGAATATAGGTTCTTTCACCTTTAGGTAAACCTGAAAAAGAAGAAACATAAGTGAATAAGAGTATAATATGCATGCATTCCTTTACTTCCTTTACAGTTTTTTTTTTTTTTTTTGGTCTTTTTGAGACAGGGTCTTTCTGTAGCCCCAGCTGTCCTGGAACTCAGTATGTAGACCAGGCTGGCCTCGAACTCACAAAGATCCGCCTGCCTCTGCCTCCCAAGTGCTGGGATTAAAGGAGTGCGCCACCAAGCCCGTCAGGAGCACAATTTTTAAATGACACAATATAAGGGAATCAAAATTGAAACCACCTCTTCAATGAGTCATCAACAAGACAAAGTTCAGGTTTTTTAACTCGACACTCAAAACTTCCCACAGTGCCTGTCTTTCTATTTGGCATCACTGCTGTCTTCTTGTCTCCTCATTCTAACCTTCAGAAAGTACTGCACTTCTTTAACTGTATTCCTTTTATGCTTCTGTATATTTAAACATACTGTTCTTTGTTTAGAAATCCTCCCTCACTGGCAAATACTGTTTAAATTCAACAGGCAGTATCCTCCTTAAAGCCTTTTCTGATTGTGTCTGGGTACAATAGAAGGAACCATTCACCCTCCTTCCTGTCATCATCTACATATAAGCTTTGTGCTCTACTACTGGTCTGTTCATATCCCCTATGAGTGAATAATTTCTTTGATACCAAGAACTGGGCTTAATATCGCTAAGTCTTCATTTACAGTAGTGATCTAATAATACTTTGGATAATTTTACAATTTGACTAAAGTTTCTATTTCTGGAATAATTTTTTTTGTTTTTCTTTTTGTTTTAACTACAAAAGGCCAAATTATTTCTCTTAAATAGCCAAAGGTCTTTGAAAATATATATCTGGGACATTATCTGCAAATCTAGACTCAGTAAGGAAAATGTTCTTAATCTCTGAATTTTTATTTCAAAATACTAATTTCTGAGGCAGGAGATGAGAAGATAATGGGGAAACATAATCAAAGTACATTATATATGTATGAAATTATAAAAAAGTTCTTAAAACAAATCAAAACAAAACCCATTTTCTCTTTATATAATTAATACTATTAGATTTACCCTGTTACTAATTTAGAAATGCAAAATAGCACCCATTCTTAATTTTATGTATTTATTTTTGAGATAGGATCTTGCCATGTAGGCCAAACTGGCCTAGAACTCACTCTGTAGCCCAGGCTGGCCCCAAACTCACAATCTTCTTGCTTTCATCTTCTGAACACAGGAATTATAGGCATGCACCATTACTCCAGGCTAAGCACAGTGTCTTAAAAGACACTGTTTTTTGTTGATTTTTATGAGACAGGGTCTCCCTGTAACCCCAGCTGTCCTAGAACTTGCTGTGTAGCCCAAGAGATCCTCTTGCCTCTGCCTCCTGAGTACTGGGATTAAAGGTACATGCCATCATGACAAGCTTTTTTTCTTTCTTTTTAAATTTGTTTTATTTAAAATTTTCTAACAATGCTGAGCATGGTAGAACATGACTTTAATATCAGCACTTGGGAGGCATAAGCAGGTGGATCTCTGTGAGTTCAAGGACAGCCTGGTCTTTATAGTGTTTCAGTCCAGTCAGGACTAACTACATAAAAACCCTGTCTCAAAAAAAAAGGAAGAAAGGAAGAAAAGAAAGAGAAAGAGAAAGAAAAAAAGGAAGGAAGGAAGGAAGGAAGGAAGGGAGGGGGGAGGGAGAGAGAGAGAGAGAGAGAGAGAGAGAGAGAGAGAGAAGGAAAGAGGAAAAAGAAAAGGGCTGGAGAGATGGCTCAGCAGTTAAGAACACTTGTTGTTCTTCCAAAGGACCTGGGTTTGATTCCTAGCACCCACAGGGTGGCTAACAACCATCTGTAACTCCAGTTTCAGGGGATTTGACACCCTCTTCTGGCCTCTGTCAGGCATTGCAGGATAGAGGTGCACTTAATATACATGGAGGCAAAATACTAATACACATTAAAAAAAAATATTTAAAGAAAGAAAGAATTTCCAAGAATGACAACTCTTATAAAGTATCTAAGCACAGGACACAAAACTGAAACAAGCATTAACAACAACAAAATCACATTTCCAAGTGAGTTAATGTGAAATATACATTCAGGGTCAAGTAATGTCCAATTGCCATAGCACTAATGGTCAAGAATTAAAAAGGAAGCTCAACTCTCATAATTGCTACCTGAAAGGGACAACCTTATTGGACTCTTATGGAATCCAAAAATGGTTCCTGCAACTCCAGTAGCAGAAAGTTGAATTCACACATCCACCATGAAAAGGTCACTGTTTTCTAGGCAAAGAATTATGGAGTCCTTATTATACGCCAGATATGAATATATAGTAAGTATAAAATGCTTACTATTATAACTTCATTTTAAAAAAATTTTTTATGTGTATGAGTATATCACCTACATGTATGTAAGTGCACTCGTGTCATGCAATGCCTGCAGAGGTAAGAAGAAGGCAATGAAATCCCCTGGAACTAGAGTTATGGGTGGTCATTAGCTGCCATGTGGGAGCTGGGAATTGAACTCAGGTCCTCTGCAAAAGCAGCCAGTGCTCTTAACTGCTGAGCCATCTCTCCAGCCTCTATATCTTCATTTTATGGATAAGAAAAACCTAAAGCTGAAAGAGAACTAGTAAGAGGGTTAGATCCAAACTCATACCAAATCTTTGTTTCTAAGCACATTATCTCTTAACTTACAAATGGATCTAGTCTTGATGCTGATGCCAATTCTATACAAATTTGGTTGGCCAAGCAAGTCACTGATACTCTACACTTTATTCTCTTTAATACAATAACAAGAGATACTTTCATCTCTGAAGTTGTTTAAATGTCTTTCATTATTAACTAGTATGCAGTTTAGGCAAATTACAGGAACTCAGGAAAACAGTGAATATCCTATTTGGCATCTTACTAGTTCAAATTTTCTTAGTAGGCTCTCAATCTTCATTTTTCTAACCTTTTCAGAAGCAAA